CTGTATTCCTTTTCAAGTTGGAATATTCCAATTTAGAAGGGTTCTGGGTGGGGCTTAGGATTCCACCTAAGGCCCCATACTCTTCAAAGGCTTAACAAGAACACTGTTTCCCTTTTAAGCCAATCCATGTATACCTTCTCAAGATTTCCTGTCTTCCCTTATCTTCATTGTTCATCTGCCACCCTCTCTCTTGGTGTATTTTGCTGTGGGTTAATGCGTTGGACTGCAAAGTCAGTTTGAATCACAAGGTCTCCAGTTCAAGCTCATCAGAAACCCTATATAGTGTCACTGTGGGTCACAGCACTTAACAACAATAACAATAAGGTATTTCAGTTTCCAGCTTTCTGAGGAAGTGCCATCCTAAGTGGCTGAATCATTTTACAGTCCCACCAGAAATTCGGAGGGTTCCCGTCTTTCCACACCCTTGCTAGCGTTTGTTGTTTTCTGTTCTTTTGAATTTCACTGTTAATGCTGGTGTGAGATGATATCTCATTGTTGTTTTGATTTGCATCTCTCAGAAGCCCTATACAGGGTCTCGAATTAGAGCCCCTACGCTTGTCTCTGTTTTTTCCTTACATTCATAATTCTTTATTGTTAAGTGCCGTTGAGTCGGTTCTAACCCATAGCGACCCTATATATGGTCTCCAAGAAACAGCTGGTGAGTTTGAACCACTGATGTTGCAGTTCAAACAACTTTGCAGTCTGACGCATTAGCCCACAGCTCCACACCAAGACTCCTTCATAATTCTAGGGCTCTGTTTATTCATTTCATTCATAGTTCTAGGTTTTACATTTAGGTCTTTAATCCATGTTGAGTTTGTTTTTGTATATGATGTGAGATATGGGTCTTGTTTCATTTTTTTGCAAATCAATTTCCAGTTTTGCAAGCACCATTTGTTGAAGAGATTATCTCTTTCCCATTTAATGTGTTTTGGCCCTTTGTCAAAGATTAGTTGACTGTACGTGAATGGATTTACTTCTGGGTTCTCAATTTTGTTAAATTGATCTATGTATCTTTCGTTGTACCAGGCTGTTTTGACCACTGTGACTGTTGAGTTTTACTCTGATCTAAAGAGTATTTTATGATTTTGTTGTTAAGTGCCCTCGAGCCACTTCCGACTCATAGCAACCCTGTATAGGGTTTCCAAGGAGCGGCTGGTTTGCTTGAACAGCCAACCTTGCAGTCTACCACATTAACCCACAGCACCACACCAGGAAAATGTATGTATAATTATATGTTAAAATAATTAGAAGGATGTTGGGTTATTTCAAATACTTCTCTGTATACAATAGAGAAAGTTCTCTTTTTGTTACTGTAGTAAGTTTTGTTGTTAGATTCTTTTTTTGTTAGTCTTCCTTGTAATAGAATGAGGCAGTATACTTTCAATGCTTTGTTGCATTAAGATTTGATACAATTTTATTCATGATTTTTGTAACTTTTCTTCTGGTAAAATTGGGATTGGCCTACATATTTCTTGTCTATTTCTGTCTTCTTCTAGTTTGGGTATCAAGATTCAACTTTGCTGTTTGCTGAGGAGTTGATTCTGACTCAAAGCGACCAGTATAGGACAGAATACAAGTGCCCCATAGGATTTCCTGGGCTGTAATCTTTTTTTTTTTCAAGATTTTTATTGTGGATTGAGTGAAAGTTTACAGGGCACATCATCAGTTTCACATTCAACCATTCATATGACTTGTTTCATTACATTGATTATAATCCCCTCCATATATCATCAGTTAACAGTGTTTCTCTCTATCCTCTTTAGCTTTTTTTGGGGGGGGGGGGGGGGGAACTTTGCCTTTTTGGAATTTACAGTCTCGGCTTTTAGGGAAGGTTTTTACATTTATCTGTGGATATCCAGGGCTCAAGTATGCGATTACTAACAAGCATAACTGAATAATCAGATGAGGGACAGTTTGCTATGTCTGCTAGGTGGCTAAAGTCTGATCCTCAGAGCTTATGGTTTGGACAGTCTGCAACGCTTGGGTCCACAGGGACATGAACTCCTGACCGGGTCTGCACGGTCTGCATCAGATTCCTCCTTATTTATTATTTGATTAAGGGATGCTGCCTGTCTTAGGTGGTCAGTGCGAATTCCTCCATCTTACCTGTCATTGAAACTCATTGCAGCATGGCAATGGCTCTGTCTTAGGTTGCCAAGGTTCCACGTGATCCTTACCCGTCTCTGGCCACATGTCCAGTATAAGCAGCCGCCATCCAAAGAAGGCAGGGAGGGAGGAGACCGGCTGGGGACCCCATACGCAAGATGTTGCCAGACCACCACCTACTCTAAGGTGACCAAGCAGGATAACTATGCTGAGGTTCAATCAAGTTCTTAGGGGATCTTAATCTCTAGCATGGGTAGCAAATTAGTAGCCACTCAGTGCTCAACTTGAGACTGGGCTGTAATCTTTATAGGAAGAAATTGCTAGGTCTTTTCTCCCTTGGAGTCACTGGGTGAGTTTGAACCACCCACTTTTCAGTTAGCAGTTGAGCACTTAATCATTGCACTACCAGGACTCCTTAGATTATGTTTATAGCCTTATGCAATGAACTGGATCTTTTTCATTCTAAACTATTCTGGAGTTTGTATAAGACAGGAGCTAGAATCCTATACTATGATGTGAGTCTTACTAGGTTTTAGGGGTTATGTTTAAACTGTTATTTATATTCTATAATGTTTGTTGTTAAAGCTGTAAGAGCTGGAACTAGACAGGACCCTCTTGGATGGGTAAAGTGTTATCAACTAAGCTGGGCCAGGATTTGCAACTGATTGGCAGTTATGATGTAGTGATTCCCCATGATGAGATTTAATATAATGTAAATTATCTCCTTAATATATTCTGCTATGCGCAGCCAATCAGTTGAAAGAAGGTTCCTCAGGGGTGTGACTAGCATCAAATATATCTGGACTTATGGCAAAACTGTCTGTCTTTCTGCTGCCCTACATTTGCTCTCCTCACCTCCAGTTCTTTGGACTTGTCAGCCTCTATAGCCCAAAGCCAGCAGCCTGTACTGCTAACTGAAAAGCCAGCGGTTGTACATGTGCACGTTAAGTTTTCTCAAGCATTCTCTCAATCCCTTGAAATTCCTTTTAGACCCTATTCAGGTAGTTCTGATACCACTTCTGATTTATATTTTCTAACTCTGTATTTAGGTCATTTGTTTGAGGTACTTTTTCTTGTTTCTTTGCTTGTGTTCCTTCCCGCCTCCAGGACAGTGTGGTATTGTATTTAACTGATAATGTATATTGGTGTGTTCTTGGGCAATAGCCACCTGCTGATTGGTGGATGTAGAAGAGATCAGAAGTATGTACCAAGTTAGTTCTCAGCTCACTATTTGTATAACAAGCAGAGTTCAGAGCAGGTTCATACATCTTCAGACGCAGGGCCACTGTGCAAGGCAGTGGACACTAGGCAGAGACAGCATGCACAGGAGTGGGTGATACTGGCTTGAAGAGACTGGCTACATCCCTGGCTACAGGAGAGCACAGGAACAAGGGAGACAAGCACCACCTTGCCTCAATTTCCAGACATTTCTATGCTTGTAGCTTGCTGTTGACATAGCTGCTAGCAAAGCTTAGGATGGCTGTGCCCACATCCTTCTCTCACACTATTAGCTTCCTCTTGCAGAAACACTATTTGCATCTATTTCACTGGGTCTCCAGGTTCTACTGCAGAGGGTCAGCGCAATGATTCATGACTGTTTCTTGCCCAGAACTATTAGAGTTTAAGTTTTATTTTATTTATTTTATTATTTTTTAAATTTAATCTGGTTTTATTATGTTTGATCAAAAAGAATTTTTTTAGCTTAAAATAACAAAACTTTCTGCCTACTTTTTTTGTTTGTTTTTTAACAATTTTTTTTTTAATTAAATGTTTTTATTTTGCATTGAGTGAAAGTTTACAGGGCACATCATCAGCTTCACATTCAACCATTCATATAGCTTGTTTCATTACATTGATTATTATCCCCGCTATATATCATCAGTTTACAGTGTTTCTCTCTAACCTCTTTAGTTTTTTTTTTTTTTTGGATTGGGGGGGGACTTGGCTTTTTGGAATTTACAGTTTTGGCTTTTAGGGAAGGTTTTTACATTTGTCTGTGGATATCCAGGGCTCATGTATGAGATTACTAACAAGCATTACTGAATAATCAGATGAGGGACAGTTTGCTATGTCTACTAGGTGGCTAAAGTCTGATCCTCAGAGCCTATGGTTTGGACGGTCATCAATGCTTGGGCCCACAGGGGCTTGGCCTCCTGACCGGGTCTGCACTGTCTGTATCTGAGTCCTCCTTATTTATTGATTGTTTAAGGGACGCTGCCTGTCTTAGGCGGTCAGTGCGAATTCCTCAGTCTTACCAGTCATTGAGACTCATTGCAGCATGGCAATGTCTCTGTCTTAAGTAGCCGAGGTTCCACGTGATCCTTACCCATCTCTGGCCACACGTCCAGCATAAACAGCCGCCATCCGAGGAAGGCAGGGAGGGAGGAGATCAGCTGGGGACCCCATGCGCCCGACGTTGCCGGTCCACCACCTGCTTAAGTTTTATTTTTGATATTAACATTGCCAAACCAATTTTCAATTTAATGGTATCTCAGTAGTTCTTTCATCATTTACTTATTTTAAATGATTCTGCATTTTTCTCTTTAGGTTCAGTTTTAAAGCATCGTTGAGATCCTCTGCTTCAGTGGAGAACATCAAGAAAAAAAAAGGACAGAGTTACACTCCCAACTGTGGAAACTCACAGAGCTACAGATTGAGACAGAAACAGATCTGGAGGACCTACTCCACAGGGAAACATTTTATTTCCTTTGATTAAAAAGTACTGGCCCAAGTGGACTCCATCTGGAGAATAACAAGCTTGAAGGAATCCTGAAAGTCTGAGTTATTGCCTCACAGAGAAACCAACATCTTATAACAGATAAGAAAAGACACATACAAAACTACTTCCCAGCATTCTCAAGTGTCTGAAACATACCTGAAAAGTTGGAACCATGAGTGTTGAATGCTATCGTACCAAGAACCCACTTTGTACAATCATGACATTCCAACCAACCATGGATGAATTTAAAGATTTTAACAAATACATTGCTTTCATAGAGTCCCAAGGTGCACACCGAGCAGGCCTGGCTAAGATAATTCCACCCAAAGAGTGGAAAGCCAGACAGAACTATGACAATATCAGTGACATTCTAATAGCCACGCCCCTGCAACAGGTGGCCTCAGGGCGGGCAGGTGTCTTTACTCAATACCATAAAAAGAAGAAAGCCATGACAATGGAGGAATTCCACCGCTTGTCTAAAAGTTACAAATACTGCACTCCATCACACTCAGATTTTGAAGATTTGGAGCGAAAATACTGGAAGACTCGCCTCTATAATGCCCCGATCTATGGGGCCGACATCAGCGGCTCCTTGTTCGATGACCACACCGAACACTGGAACCTCGGAAACCTGGGAACAATTCAGGACCTGCTGGAGCAGGAATGTGGAGTCATCATCGAAGGAGTCAACACGCCTTACCTGTACTTTGGTATGTGGAAGACCACCTTCGCCTGGCACACAGAGGACATGGATCTCTACAGCATTAACTACCTGCACTTCGGGGAGCCCAAAACGTGGTACGCGGTGCCCCCAGAGCATGGCAGACGTCTGGAGCGCCTGGCCAGGGACCTTTTCCCTGGCAGTTCTCGGGGCTGCAAGGCCTTCCTGAGGCACAAGGTGGCTCTCATTTCACCCAGCATCCTGAGGAAGAATGGCATCCCCTTCAGTCGGATCACCCAGGAGGCTGGCGAGTTCATGGTGACTTTCCCCTATGGCTACCACACTGGCTTCAATCACGGCTTCAACTGTGCGGAAGCCATCAATTTTGCCACCCCGCGTTGGGTAGATTATGGCAAACTGGCATCTCAGTGCAGCTGCGGGGAGGCCAGGGTCATGTTTTCCATGGATGCTTTCGTGCGCATTCTGCAACCTGAGCGCTATGAGCTGTGGAAACAGGGGCAGGACCGGGCCGCTGTGGACCACACGAAGCCCACGGCACTGACCAGCCAGGAGCTGACCGTCAGAGTGAAGACCCGGGCACTTGCGAAAGCCGCACGGGGCCTTCAGCACCTCCAGCCCCGTAGGGCTCCTAGCCTTCCTAATGGACTAGTCCGTAGTGGTGGGCCGGGCTCCAGTGCCCTTGTGTGCCCTACATCCCCGGGTCCCTCCTCAGACCCTGGTGCTGATGTGCAGCCTGAAATTGATGCCCAATCCACCTGCAGCCCTGGCGGTAGTCCACAGGGGTCCTGCAATCTTGTGAGTCCTATACCCAAGTGCTCCTTCTCGAACCATGTTGCTCCTGTTCATCCCAAAGCTGCAGCCTCCTCCTCATTCCACAAACTCCAGGAAATTGGCCCTACCCTGCCACCGACCCAGAGTCTGTTAGCCCTGATTCTCCAGAACGGACCTGACAAAAGGCATCATGGTCGACGACCACGTGAATATGAAGCCCCAGAAAAGACTGCCCAGGCCAAGGCAAAGAGGCACAGAGCACACAAAGCTCTGGGCCCCAAGGACCCTGCTAAAGCTTCTGGGTGCCACTGTTCAATTTATCTTCAACCCTTGGGGCCCCCACTGGATCCTGATTCTCCGATGCACCCTGGCCCGTGCCTGCTGTCACTGGACAACATTAGTGTGGATATCCCTGACCTTCTTCCACCTTTTATGAGAAATTTCTCCAGTGACGCTGCTGTGAATTGCATGACTCCTGGAGGCCTGATTAAAGTGATTGCCCAGGACCACTCATATGCATCTACTGACTGATCCCTGGGGACAACCTAAATAGATGTAGCTGCACTTTGAGTTCCAATTAATGAGTGTTCTTAAATCTTTGAGCCCAGGGCATCTGAAGATGTGGCCAAAAGTATCTGTGACTCTGACCCTTCTAACCTCTAGAATCATAGAAGCTCCCAGCAAAGCTTGAACTTGGCGTTGGAGCGCCCTTTCATGGAAACTTTTTTATCTTGTGGAAGTGCACATTTCTGGACTGATGCTTTCTCATGCTATGTATGACCTTCCCCATGCCCCACTCTCTTGTCTAGGGCAAGCCACTACTTGTGGCGAAAGTAGACCTTTTGACTAGCTGAGTCTGTCAGGTTCAGTGGTATTTTGTATATTATTGTATATATTGTATATTCTTGAATTTTATTAAATTCATTATTCTTAGTATGTATCTGAAAAGGAACTATGATTCAAGAAAAAGGACAGCGTTGATTTGAACTGCAAGGTCGGCAGTTCTAGGAGCAGCCAGCTGCTCCTTGGAAACTCCTTGGTACCAACTTGACAGCATACAGGAACAACAGCATTCTCAAAAGACAATTTTGTGCCAATAAAGAGTCACAGTTACTGGACAGGAAGAGCTCTATCCCGAGACAGCCTTTACATTTTGAAGTGATCCTGCCCCTGAAGCTCACCTTTATAAGTATGTCCATTGTGTTAATTATATATTTGATATTAAAAACTGCTTAACATTTTGTTTGTCTGATTTAGAAATGAATAAGATTAATTGCTATGTATTAATGTCTATGTATTCAAACTATGTAAACTTTGAAACAGTTCTATCTGGTAATAAAACATTCTATGAATCTATAATGGAATAATGAAGCAGAATAAGAAGTTGAGAATATGTAAATACATTTGAAAATGTAATACAGGCAGCATCTTAAATAACTGGGTTAAGAACGAACTTTTAAAGTTATTCTATTTGAACTACAGGGTAGCATATAACCAATACCTTTCTGATGAAGTTGTATTACTAACACATAACAGATACCAGCATAATTTCAAGTGGGTCAATAGCTACGAAACCATGTTTTCTATAAAAACACAATGCAATTTATTTTAAAACTTTAAACTCAACATGACTCAAACAGGGTTCAAAATCAGAAGCCATTGAAAAAACATGCAATTCACTGTCCTCAAATTGACTCCTGGTCATAGTGACCCTATAGGAGAGAATAGAAACAAGTGCTCCTTACAGTTCTTGAGGCTGTCTATAGATATAGTTGCCTCATCTTTCACCAGGAACAGCTAGTGGGTTCCAACCACCTGACCTTTAGCTACTAGTCCCTTAAACCATTGTTCCAGCAGGGTCAACTAAAAGAACAACACCTACACAAAGTTAAAAACAAACAACACTTGTAAAACTTGTGCAATGAACTGATAATCATTGGAGAACTTAAATTAAATTTTAATACCATTTGCCTTTAAGTTGATTCTGATTTAAGGCTACCCCGCGTGTACTGGAGTAGAATTATACTCCACTGGGGTTTCTATGGCTGCTTTCAGAAGTAGATCGCACACCAAGACTTTCTCTTGAGGCCCTGGTGGATTCAAACGGCCAAACTTTGAATTAGCAGTATATTGTGTTAAGTGTTGATCTCATCCAGGGCCTACAATTTATATATAACTCCTAGAAACCGATAAAGAAAAAGATCCAATCTAAGACAAAAATGGGGCAAGACTACAAATATATAATTAATAGAAAACCAATATAACAAATTAAAACAAAAACAAAAAACAGTTGTGATGGAGTCCCTTCCAACTTATGTTAACACCCTGTGTGTCAGAGCAAAACTACTCCATAGCACTTACAGCAGCTGATTTTCAGGAGATCACTAGGCCTGTCTTCAGAGATGCCTATCCATAATTTGTTATGCTCCACATAGTTAAATGCCTTTGTTTAGTCAAAAAAACACAGGCAAACATCTCTCTGGTATTCTCTGCTTTCAGCCAAGGTTCATCTAATGTCAACAACGGTATCCCTAGTTCCATATCCTCTTTTGAATCTGACTTGAATTTCTGGCAATAACCTGTCAATGATCTGTAGCAACATTTTACTGTGATATTGGTATTGTTTGATAATTTCTGCATTCTGTTTGTACTATTATTCTCATTCTAATACATTTAGCAAATATTGATGGCAGTATTCAAATCTACCCTATGGATCTGTGCTAATTCTGTTCTTGTCTAATCTTCTTTTTGGAAGTAAACAGCTTTTGAAAAAAATCCAAGGCTTAATTCATTTTTATTGTATTTCTCATTGAGCCAATGTTGGTAAATTAAGCATTGATGTCACTCAATTCAAAGTTATTATTAAGTGAAATGACCTTGCTGCAGTTTTACAATCTTCCTCCTAACAAACAATTTCCCTGGAACTTTACCATTCAACCACTTTCTGACTTTTAATTATGTGTTTATTTTATAAACCACATTGCTGAGCCAGGAGATTGGATTAATGGTTGATTGAATTGAAAATTACTGGCAGAAATCATGGTGTCCTTCAAGAGATGAAGAGACACATTGCGGTACATCCATGCTGTGGAGTATTCACCAGTAATAGAAAAAAAATGAGCTTCCAAGTCATGAAAAGACACAGAGGGACCTGAAATGTATGTTGCTAAGTGAAAGAAGCCAGTCTGAAAAAGCTGCATACTATGTTTCAATGACATTTGGAAATGTTGTACTATAGAGATAGTGAGAAGGTGAGATAGTCAGCGATTACCTGACTGGGTTCAGGGATGGCTGAGGGTAACTAGGACTATGGACTATAGTTTATGTTTCATTATTGGCTCATCAATTGTAGCATAGCTACCACAGGAATGTAAGATTATAATAGAAGAAATGAAGTGCAGGGTCAGTAGTTCAAACCCAGTAGCCCCTCTTTGGAAACTCTACAGGGTCCACTATGAATTGAAACCGACTGGACAGCACTTAACAACAAAGAAGACCAGTTAATAACACTGTTATTCAAATTTACATGCCAACCACTAAAGCCAATGAATTGGAAAATTCTGCTAACTTTTTCTGTTTGAAATTGACCAAACATATAATTAAGGTGCATTGATAATTGCTGGTTATTGGAATAAAAAAGTTGTAAACAATAAAGAAGAATCAGTAGTGGAAAAATAAGGTCTTGGTGACAGAAACAATGCTGGAGATCACATGGAATATTTTTGTAAGACCAATGACTTACTCACTGCAAATATTTCTTTTCAACAACATAAAAGACGACTATACACATGAACCTCATCAGATGGAATACTCTGAAATCAAATTGATTACAACTGTGGTAAGAGATGATGGAATAGCTCAATATCATCAGCCAAAACAAAGCTGATGGAACAGATCATCAATTGCTCATATGTAAATTCAGGCTGAAGCTGAAGAAAGTTACAAGTTTACATGAGCCAAAATATAACCATGAGTATATTCTAAATTTAGAGACCATCTCAAGAACAGATTTGATGCACTACACACTAATAACTGAAGACCAGATGACATGGGTTGACATTGAGAACATCATTCACAAAGAAAGCAAGAGGTAATTTAAAAGACAGGAAAGACAGAAAAGACCAAAATGAATGCCAGAAGAGACTCTGAAACTTTGTTTTGAACACAGAGAAGCTAAAGCAACATAAAGAAATGACGAAGTAAAAGAACTAAACAGAAAATTTCTAAGGGCAGCTCAAGAAGACAAAGAATTATAATAAAATGTATGAAGACCAGGAGTTAGGAAGCCAAAAGAGAACATGCTCAGCATTTCTTAAACTGAAAAGAACCAAAGAAAAAATTCATTCTTAGTTGCAATATTGAAGGATTTTATGTAGAAAATACTGAATGATGCAGGAAGCATGAAAATAAAATGGAAGTATACACAGAGTCACTGTACCAAAAAGAATTGGCCAACGTTCAACTACTTCAAAAGGTAGCATATAATCAAGAACTGATGGTATTGAAGGAAGAAATCCAAGCTGCACAGAAGGGATTGGAAAAAGCAAAGCTACAGGATTTAACGAAATACACATTGAAATGTTTCAATAAACTGATGCAGCACTGGAGGTGCTCACTTGTCAATGCCAAGAAATCTGGAAGATAGCTGCCTAGCCAACTGACTGGAAGAGATCCGTGTTTGTGCCCATTCCAGAGAAAGGCAATTCAATAGAATGCAGAAATTATCAAATATAATCATTAATATCATCTGCAAGTAAAATTTTGCTAAAAATAATTCAAAACTGGTTGTTGCAGTACATTGACAATGAGTTGCCAGAAATTCAAGCCAAATTCAAAAGAGGATGTGAAATAAGAGATATCATTGCTGATGACAGAGCTTGGCCGAAAGAGTGCACCATCTCTTGTACTTTAGACATGTCGTCAGATAGGATCAGTCCCTGAGAAAGATCCCCAACGAGGTGGATTGGCAAACTGGCAACAACAACAGGCAGTGTTTTGTTCATTTGTGCACAGGGTCACTATGAATCAGACCCAACCCCAACGCACCTAACAACAACAACAATCTTTATGGAAGCCATTTCTGTGGTGTGGCTGGTGGGGTCACACCACTGTACTTTTGGTTAGCATAACTCTTAACCATTGTACCAGCATGTCTACTTTCAGATTAGAAGAAAGTACGCAATATATTGCTGTTCTTTTTTTTTCTTTTAAAAGTAGAAAATACATCAGAAAGTAAGAATGTCCCTTGTTAAAACTGTATAGCATTTGGTTATTAGTTGTGGGGGCATTGCTTTTGTTTTTACACTGGAAGGTGTAATTTCCATTTGTCCTAGATGAAAAATGACTTTTTCTGAGTCATTTTTATGAGGGGTCTTCAAAAAGACCCCTGGAAAGTAGCCTGGGTCAAGGTGGTAGAATAAGCAGACTCAGTGAGCAGACTCTCTGTAACAAAGACATGGGAGACCCAGTGAAACAGATACAGATGGTGATCCTAGAGCCTAAGCATCACAGGCGAGCGCAGACAGGTGGAT